ACACACACACACACACACACACACACACACACACACACACACACACACACACACACACACACACACACACACACACACAATGTCTGCACAGATTGGAATTTAGATGGACCTAAACCTGGTTGGGCTGATCTAGATATAATTACTTCATGTACCCTTAATCATGGAAGCAATTCCTGGCAGGAATTGGAAAGAAGGAAAGGATTCCAGAAATGTAAATGCAATCTGAGATGATTGTCTACAAGCAAGTCACTTTGAACAGCCATCAATAAATTCACTTGATAATAGAAATGAGCAATTGTACTAGAAAATACATATTGTTCTTTTGCCAATACAAATTGTTAAAGACATGTGATGCATTGTTACCTTTTTATCATAATTTTATCATTAATCTGGAAGAAGCTAATATTTTCTAGAACTGATTCAAGGTTAACTGAGAGAAGGGATTTTGGTTGGCAAGTTTACAGGGGAAAAAGGTTAGAACCTGCAAATGCTCTTACAGCTCTGTCATGAAGAAAAGTTTCTTTTCAGTAACAACTTGTGGTGAAGTTCACAGAAGGGGAAAAAAGACTGTGGTCAGTGCTTACAAAATATCAGTATTCTGAGGACACTTACAGACAAATGGACAACCTTCAGACTGTCATTACAGTAAATTAAGTATAAATCACAGAAATAGGTGTGTTCTGACACTGCCTAGCCTCCCTTTCTATCACTGTCATTCTCCTTTTTGACTGCAGTAAAGGCACTATTTCTCTACTGCCTCTTATATTATAGCAGGCTGCTGACTTCAGGTCTGCTGGGCCAGCTGATTAAATTAAGACCTCACTCAGGTAAATCTATTCTCCTCTTTCACTTGGCTCTGTCCAGCATTGTAACTTGATTGGCCTCCATAAATCGGGCAGACTGAAATGTATTAATTCATTTATTTTTCTGATATTGACTTAACAAAAAATCTAAGATAAGATTTAATGCTATCAGAGAGGCTATTCGTTTTTAAAAGCCTTCCTCTCAATGACTGCTTAATGCATTACATAACAAGCATTAAATAATACATTAGAAAATTCTGCCTTTAACCTTTCCAGAAGGACTAAAATTTTAATTCTAGCTCTATGTCTTGGTAACAAAGGGTGCACCTACATGGGCACTTTACTGAAGAGCTCACCAATTAGCTCAGCAATAAAGGGTCACTGTCTACACATGTGCCTATATTAGGGCACAGTACATTAATTAACTCTGCCATAGGATAGTACTGTCTGGGAGAAGTACTATTCTATAGTGGAGTAATTTACACTGCCTCAATGCATGGGACTGGCTAAGGCACAAGGGTGCTACAGTGTGGGGATGCCTGCTGGCTAGTCCCACACCGTAGCACCCTTGTGCCCCAGCCAGCCCTGACACCACCCAATGCTGAAACCTGGAGCTCAGGGCTAACCCCACAAGCCTGTCGCCAGCCTGGGGCTGCTTGGCCCCAATTGCTGCAGTCCTGGGCACACATGTATATGCTGAACCTGGGAACCACTAACTGCAGCACGAACTGTGCCAGAATTTATTGCTCTATGCTAATTGCACATTTAGAAGAACCCAAAGAGTTTTTTTTTGATGTCATTCATGGGCACTTTTCATTTGGGCTAGGGACAGAAGTTGCACATAAACCAGTTTAAGTAATCAGAAACTGGTTTAAACCTGTAACAGGACATTCCCCTGGCTTCCGCCCAATGCACAGAGTTTCTATCTGCTCTGCCTGCTCAGCACGATGAGCAATGCCTGCAGGTGGGTGGAGTGGGTGGATGCTGTCCAGGACCTGGAGGTGGAGCCCCATGCGCTGGGCAGAAGCCACGGGGCTGAAGCTTCTTGCCTGCCCACCCAGAGTGGCACAGTGTGGCAGGGGCAGGGCAGGGGGGGCAGCAGGAGTGGCTACAGTAGGAGCAGCTGGAGGCAAGAGGGGAAGAACAGCCCACCCAGTGCTGGGAAGTCTGCAACCAGTGATGCAGCTGCAGTTGCCAGGTGCTGCACAGGATAGGGGGCATGGCTGCATCGGGCAGCTACTGGGTTTGGGATCAGCCAATGCCTCTGAGCTGGCCTGGGAAGCCTGCTATCAGACCAGCCCCTGCCCATGCTGCTGGGCCAGGCTGACATAGAGCTGCAGCTGCTGG